GGTGTGACCCAGACTAGGGTCCCATGCCAGCGACTCTGCCTGCTGTCAGACTGTCTTGTTTAGACAGTCTGTTCAAAACCAAATGACTTCATCCAACAGCCAGACAAGCTCTTCATATCAGTCTATTTTCTGCATTAGCTGCCATAAGCCAACAAACCGAGGCCATTACAGTTTTTCTCGATTACTAACACACATTTTTTTTAAATTGCTCAGTTTCTCAGAACACTAAACACAATTCACAAAACCACACACCCAAAGTGCAAAACACCTCATTTCTCCTGCTAAATGAAGAACTGCACTCACAACGACATAAACACTTGCAAACACACCAAATGCAAACTTTTGCACCAAATATAACTTCATTCATAATACTAGATTGTTTGACCACCCAACTACACACTGCTGAGCATAATCTAAAGCACTTTCATCTGTTATGGGCTATGCTCTGTACATAGAGGTTTCTGCAGAGAAAGATTGCTTGAGTTTACAGAAATACAGTAAAGGAAGAAATACAAATGAGTTGTTGAAAAAAATCACATTTTATTCAAAGATAACACTGCAACATGCATCTCAGCACATGGTTACTATGCTTCAGATCTCTCTAAGTGTGATGGCATTGTTTGCCAAAACCCAGTTTGTAACTGCTGCTTCCTGGGCCTCATTGAACATCCTTAGCCTTCCACCTGCACCTCTTTGTTTCTCAGTCCTTCAGATAAACAACAAAGATATAGTGGTCAGTCAGTGTCTGTGTTGCATAAAAGTGAGTTTACCACAGTATATTGTGCAGGATTTTTGTACATTTATAGTATGCAACATGCCAACAATTCAATTACAGTAATGAAGTAAATACGTTTCACACAACAGATATAAGCACTGATATATCATGAGAGTATTCTTCTTTGTCCACGTCCTCTCCCTCCACCTCTCCCCCACCTCTTCCTCTCACTCTCAGCCCAGCCCTTCCTCTTCCTCTTGCTCTTGCTTCCATGTTGGCTTCCATTGTTGCTGTAAGAAAGTTCTCACCTGTGGTCTTTTCATAGTGCTAACATCCTGATTGATGAGCCAACAATTATGCTATCAGGTGTTTGGTCAGGTGGAACGTGTTTCTTGATCATTGGTCCATGTGTGAGGCATTTTGAATATCAGTGTTTTAAACCTGCCAACACGTGACTTTATGTCAGATTCCTGTGTCTTACGTGGTTTGCAAAAAGTGCCATGTTGATTTGCAAACTGTGTGAAAAGCTGAAAACGTGTTTAGAGTTTTGGAGATTTGAGCCGATGTTTTGCTCTTTGAGTGTCAGTTAAAATAATTGTGCTTTATGTAGAATTTTAGTGTGTTAGCAATCGAGAAAAATTGTAAATGTTGGTTTGGACTTGGAATTCTCAAACAAATCAAAATGAAAAATGAGATTTATGAAGGTAGACTTGTGCTGCGCCTGAAGTGCTGGTGAAAAAACATTAAATATCACAATCCTCTCCAACCTACTTAGCATCTTAAGCCCAAGAAAAATTAAACGCTGTCTTGAATAGATTCAGTTATAACTGACAAACATGCTATATTTTTTAAATGATGATGTATAGAGAGATAACAAGAGCACCTCAGAGACCAAACTGTTTGTGAATGAATCAGCTGTGGACCTTACGTTACTGTGCCGTGCTTCACATAAACACAGTTCAGAGTGGGCTACAGTGATGGTTTAAGACATAAACACTTCACGATCAGTGTGTGTGTGTGTGTGTTTTGGGGGAACATGCTCATCAGATGAATCCAGATTTGTTCTCTCTGTCTGGCTCTGCCTTTTTCTCGATGGGCAACTCACAAAAACAAAACAGTCACCACTGAGATGATGGGAAGCGGTGTTTTCCAAGCCGCCCGCCACGGTGCTTTCCTGGCACTTAAACAAAGCCACCTAACTGAATTTATCCACGTAAACCCACCCCTTCCCCCAATACACTCTCATCAAAACATCAAAGTACACCTAGCATTTTGCTTGGCAGTGTAAATCACTGGGTTTTTTGTACAGCATCAGCATAAGCTCAGAGATCAGAGGGTTTGTAGCTGTTTTGACTGTCATCCAGTTCTTGGTTCTGGCTACACTGTGAACTGTTTGCGCTCCAAAGCTGCCTCCTCTCCAACTCATCTGGGTCAAGAAGAGGCGCGGCTGGAACTGCCATTCAAGCTGCCTGTTGAGCCTTCATCAGATCTTATATTCACATGTTGTAATGCAGCGATAAGTTCAAAGATATTCAAAGATATGTATCGACAGAGTGCCAAAAAAGACTTTTGCAACATATTGGAAGCTGTACACTTGTTGGATGCACATCTTATACTCTTCGAGATCACTGTGATTTGTAATTTCCTCAAATGTGAGGAGATTGTGTTTTAATTGCTTTCTATAGTTGTGAAATGAGTGGAAGTGGACAGTGCCAATGGCTTTATGTCTTAGTTGGTGCGCTCCGTTGCTATCAGATATAAACTCAAGCTTTGATCAGATGTTTGGACCAATACTTCTGAATAAAATAGTTCTCTTTGAATGTAATTATATAGCACATGTTCTGAACATGACATACCATGTGTAATGTGCTACACCTTGTTAAAGCCTCGGACTGTATTCAAATGAACTTCTACTAATGTAATCAAAGTGTCTAAATGATTTACCTCATTATTTCAACATCATGGGTGTCCATAATACTTTGTCTTTGGCCATTGCAGTTGTATTTAATTAACAGATTACATCCGCCAGGACGGTTATGTTTTTGTGTTATTGTCAGCCGAATTACAGAACAACTAAATATGCCAGATTTTCATACAACTTGATGGAAGAGTATAGTTTGGACCAAGGAACAACCCATTACATTTTGGAGCAAATCGGAATCACTGGGCGGATACACACATTATTTCTCACTGGCGGAGGTCTGTGCTCTCCATGTGTCCTTTTAGTTCACTTGGACCTGCAGTTGAATGACAGAAAAATGTTATGAATTGATTTGCCTACATTCTGTCTTTACAGTATACCATATGTTCATTCAGCAGCGTTCTTATCAGAACCATTCATTGATTTAATTAAAACTCCATGGCTATCATTTAATAACCAAAACATTTTCCCCATCTGTCTGTGTGCAATCTTGGCAGAGGTCTTCAAAATTGCTTTCAAGTCACCCATAACAAGGCGGGGGAATGGTTCCTCCTTGGATCCCAGAGGCCTTGAAGTTCCTAATGATGACATCAAATGTCTTGAGTGAGTCGTGCTGGCCCTCACGCCCTCTGATCTGCAGTCAGAGAGGGCAGCGGTGAGCTCATTATGGGAGGAAGTCACTTTACCATTGAAAGTGAGAGAGACAGAACGAGCAACATCTGTCTAAGCCTAGGAAGTGAGGCAGGATGCGTGCAGGCCAGGTGTCACTGTCAGCGGTGGAAAAACCCGTTCATTAGTAGGATGGACGATGTAGCTGGGTCAGCCACCTCCTGTAAGTCCTTACCACCTTGAGTCCGGGGGACCTCTTATTTCCCCGTGTCATTTCCTATCCCTGGGACGCGCCCGATAGATTCAGGATCTGGGTCAGCAGCTGTCAGATATACTGTCGATGCTGCCTGTTTTCTTTTGGATAGATGATGTGAGAGGCCATTATCAAATGTCTTTTTCCCCTTTTCATTTACTGTCCTGTTCTCTTGGCAGCAGGAATGTGGTTTGTGGATAAATATACATGCATGGGCTTGTGTTGCACCTAGCACAGCTGGAACAGAGTGTGTGTGTGTGTGTGTGTGTGTGTGTGTGTGTGTGTGTGTGTGTGTGCGTGTGTGTGTGTGTGTGTGTGTGTGTGTGTGTGTGTGTGTGTGTGTGTGTGTGTGTGTGTGTGTGTGTGTGGTGTGTGTGTGTGTGTGTGTGTGTGTGTTTATTTGCCCGATTATCGTTGTACGTCTGTGGGTCGACAGAGCTGATTCAGTGTGTAAATACGTGGTGTGTGGCAAAAAAACCACATGTAATAAATGTTAATGCATGGTTTATATCCTCATTTGGGATTTGATTACTGCTTTAATTTCGTTGAAGGGCCACAGGTGTGCTTTGTAGAACTCTTTCTCTGATCGGCCCAACATGGTTCCTCTTTGTCTTGCTCTGCTTACTGTCTGTCTGAGCAGATCTGTGGGATCCAGATGGTTTTTTTGCAAGGTTGAATCCCAGCCCTCCTCAAAGCTTAGGCCCTTCTGCCTGTCCATCCGAGAGGCACGCGCCTCCCCCAGGTCGCTCACATGAACTCAGCTTCCAGGTCGTACAACACAGGCTCAGTAATTGACCCAAATCAAATGCGCACCGGTAAAAAAACGTGCCCCTCTCAGCCCTGGACAAGCTTTGTTCTTCGACCCTAGTTTTAATACTTCCTCCAGCCCTGTGCAACACTCAGGATGTTGCCCCCTGGTTGGCCACAGTCAGACTGTACAGGGAGTTCATCATCTAGTCAGGCAGACACAATGTGTGATGGAAGTGTTTTGTTAGCTGATGAAGGGATCTAATTTGTTTAATTACTCATTTTTTCCGAGGCAGACCATGCAGCCACAAACAGACGCCAACACAAACTGGGACACCTAAATCCTTTTGGTTGCTGGATCCTTATTTGTTGTTAATCAATGGTGAAAAATCCTCTCTTGCAAAAGTTTAATGTCTGACAGAATCTTTACATTAATTAGGGATGGTCTTGGATCTGTATACAGCAAATGTGAGTTAAGAAACCCTATATTCGCTTAAAGAATGATATGGTATTATTAATTTGATTAAAATAAAATGATTTCCAAATCATAGTGTTGCATCAATGAAATCAATGAAGCAAAGCTATGACCTAAGACAGCATGACATATTATTTTCTGTTGCATGCTTTAATGGATTTCACAGTGATGCGCATTGGTTGCAGAAGGGTGTTGCTATGTGTGTACAGTAAATATGTGTGTGCTATTAGCGTTAGCCTGAGGTCATGTATTTATGGTCTTGTGATCATGTTAATGACAGGACTCAAGTGAGACGGGGACCTCCTGACTCCTCCCCTCAGCAGACTGGGACCTCCCGCACTGTGAAACGTTATCCATCATCTTCTGGACCAATAACCTCCAACGCTCTACCCAATGGCAACGGCTACGCTAATGGCCACGGCAGCGAGCACAGAAACAGGCACGGACACAGGAATGGGCCTAGCAACGGGCACCACAACACTAACAGGCCCACCAGCGACAGCCAGCTGCAAGGGCAGTTCAACAATGCACTCTCACCAGCAGGTAAGAACAACAAACATATATTTTGTACACGTTTAAGATAAAGAACTTGGATCAGCATGCTTAACATTTCACTTTCCTCGGTCATGTCAAAACAAACATTGTGGCTCAATTAACAGAGGCCAGCATGCACATGTACACATGTATGGTGTCATCGTGGAATGGAACATTAGCCACAAGAAAAAAAATTGGCAGCTTCCCAGGCCGCACTTCCATTCCTCCACTGTCCACCCACCCCACCCCCTTTCTGTGGTCTGCATCCCACCAGACAGTCTTTGATATGAAAGCTACGTACAGTATGTGTGTGTGTCCTGGTCCACAATCTGCTGGAGAGGAGTGTGAGCAGTGTGTGTGTTCTTGTGTGCTTTGATATCTTTGGGAATATGCCTTGTCACCTCTCCGACATGACAGGCCCTAAAACCTGGCGCCTCTACCCACAACAAAAATAATCATGTATTTCTTATATTTGTATCCTCTCTTCAATAATTCATCTTCCTCTGATCCCCCATCCAGCACACACAGCTGTCTGCTGTTCAAGCTTGTTGTTTCGCCCTGTACCACAGCAACGGCTGTTGAACAGCTTCCCACCATTACACCATGTTAATTTGCACTCAAGCGCTCTTTCTCTCCTCAACACATACACACATCCAAAACACCTTACCCTCAAGATAAAGGGCTTGGAGACTAGCCCGATGTCTAATAGTATTCTTTCCGCCTATTTGCTGGCCAGATTCAGCTACAGTGTGCCACTGCCCAGCCGTCAGCACACACCCTCGCACACTTATAAACCTCCCTTTGCCCAGACGGGGAGTGTGTCACAGTGAGGCTGAAGGAGAAAGGATGCAGCTCGTCTCCAGCCCGTCTCCCCTGCTGCTGCTCCTCCTCACCCAGGTGTCTGTGTGTTTTCCAGGGGCCAACCTCACCTCCAACCTGGACCGCATTAAGATCGTATTCACGCCCATGGTGTGCCGCAGGGTGTGCAGCGGCGGACGATGCTACAACAGCTGTGAGAAGGGAGACATGACCACGGTCTACAGCGAGAACCAGAACCAGCAGCAGCATAGGCAGCAGCCAAAGAACCCGGGCTACCGACTCTGTGAGTGTCAACCTCTGGCCTTCTGTTTATTATTAACTCTTATCTTTCTTGTCCACTTGTCATCCTTCATCTCCCCCTCATCTCTTCCCTTGCTTACTTTCTGATTCTCACACACTTCCCCTGTGCCTCCATCCTACTTTCTCATTCCTTTTTTTATGGGGTGAGCTTGACAAAATGGGTTCCCAGTGGCATGCTGCTTGTTGTGAATACCAGCCTCAAAGAGGAGGTAGAGTGGTGGAGTTTAAAGCTAAGAGCTACGCTACAAACTCTCACTGTCAAAGAGAAAGAGAGACAGGCAAAGCAGGAGTGATGGGGGTGCGCCAGATTTTAAGTGGGCTCTGTAATAGGGGGTTAATCTCCCCCTCGCACACACACGTGGAGCTGGTGGTCCCACGCTCCCAACACTTAGCCTCATCTCTTTGCGGTTTACACCTCGCGGTTGGCCCCGCCGTTAACCATTTGACATGCCCCCTGGGAGAGCAGGAACGAATGAAAGAGGAGAAGGAGAGAAAGAAAGAGAGAAAGAGTAGCAGCATGAACAGGATTTTATAGGGATTACAATAAACCTTCCATTTATCCTGGGGGCTTTGCTCCGAATTCACACAGGAGTGTCCATGGGAAGGGAAGGGGTGGTCAATGCCAAGGGTAGGGTCATACCCCGGCATGTTTCTTAGTTTTCTCATCAGTTTTAGGGACCAGCTGAGGCTCAGACTAATTACTACTTGGGGATTAGAGCTGCTCATACCACACACATACACATACGAGTCCTTAGGGTCACAGCTCAAATAAATACAAGGGACACAAACATGTAACCTTCACTTAAGTGCACTCGGCTCTTTGGGGAGGACCTAGCTCGCTTATGAATATATGAACAGGTTGTTGTTGCAGATGTATGTGCCCATTAATGGGGTTTTGGAACATGGCGTAGATATTCCAAACACTTCAGCGTCCTGGCAGAGGCCTTCCCCTAAGATTACATTCCTGGCACCTCCACGTCTTCCTGGGCAGCGGGTTTGTTTTTATGCCCCTTTTTCATTCTCTAGTAATCTCCTTTCATTATGCAAACGCGTAGGTTAAAGTGTGTGTTAAAAAGTGATTGATTTTCCATAAAACGTGCATCCTGTTATTGCTTGGGTGTGCGTGTTCGTCAAGGAATTTCAAGTGGACAGCAAACAGTTATCTCATGCTGTTGTTATGTTCCCTACGCGGCGCTGTAAACTCTGTCTTGATACACTTACTTTAAAGCCTGATATTAGATTGAGTAGAAGACTGTTTATTGAGTGAGAAGTGTGTGTGTGTTTGTTTCTTTCCTTGTTCATGGCCATTTCTACTGATCATAATTCCATTGTTGAGGTTTACTAAAATAGATTTATACTGTGCAATTTTCCAAACTCACATTGGTTTCTCATACAGCATCTCTGTATAGTATGTGTATTCACCGGTATTCACTCTCTGTCCTAAACGGCTTGTTGGAGCTCCTGCCCCCCCCCCCCTCCCTGTGAGCCCAGTGTGCTCTGATTGGTCGCGAAGCTGAGAGGCTCGCAGCTGCAACGGAGCAGACAGGCTTCTGTGTCAGCGATACAGGAGAACAAGCTAAACTCATCCTGAGCACACACAAACACTCGCAGCCGAAGTAAAAACAATAAGTGTGGCTTGATATTGAGTAAAAGTTTTATAACGCTGTGAGAATGGGTCCGCGGAGAGCATTTCTCCGCGATCCCAACGTAGTAGCCCAAAAAACGTTTACCCATTTAAACAGTCGTGGACTCGTGGTAGATACCTTGTTTGTTTTAAACATCATAAATACACAAACAACAATGAATACTTACAGGTTGTGTACCCGAATCTCCCGCTGGTCCAAACAAAGTAGGAACAGCATCGTTCTTCAGTGCCCTACGCTGTACATATCCGTCATGAATCGCTGAAAGGTTTGGGAAGCTTTGTTTCGTGAAAGGCTGGCAGAGGGTGTGGCCATAGCTCTGGGCGTGGCTACTGGGTATCCCTACGTCACGATACCCAGGAAGAAAACATTGGAAAATGAGAAATCTCCAACGAGGCGTTTTGGGGAGGTATTTTCTGTGTTAGAGTTTTACTCGCTACAGGGTGTACTTTGAGGGTTTTTGACTCTGCAGACCGTTTACATGCATAAAAACCTTCATAACACACAAGGGGACGGGTAATAACCGGAAAAGCATGACATGGGACCTTTAAAGGTGTTTAAATGGAGAGACAAAAAGATAGACAGACAGACTGTGCACAGTAGACAGTAGGTTGTTGTCTAAGAATAGCTTCTGCCCCTGCCTGATACAGACCAGGGTAGACCTGCATCCCACATTGAGAGGATTTAATATCGTCATCGAGCTGATAATTTAGCCAGCATGTCTAATCACTGGAGGCCTTCCTGTTGACAACAATGCTGGACCTCTCTGTTTCTGTCTGTCTTTCCACATCTTCTTTCTCCCATTGCTTATTCCTTTTCTCTGTCTGTCTCTTCTTTGTTGTCTAATTTCTGTTTTCAATCTATTCACATTCTCCTCTTCTAACCCCCTTCATCCCCTGTCTGTTAATATTCTATTTTTACTCCATTCCTCCCTGTCTTCCTCGACCAGTCTCCCTGTTTTTAATGCCATGTGACAGAGGGCTCATTCCTTGTCTGTCTCGATGAGGCAGAGAAGATACAGCTCGCAGCATGTTTCCATCACTAGCGGCCTCTTTCATCTCATAGCGCAGTATGTTGGCCATCCCGATCTCCAGCTGTCTGGTAGAGCAGTCCTCATATTTGCGGTGCGCGGTGCTGCTAGGGTGTAAAAGTGCAGCTCTTCACTTTTTCATCCTTTATGATGAACATTTTTGTTTCTTATTCGTCACGGTTTGAGAGATTTTTTCTTTGATGTTTTGAGTTAGAAGAGGTCAAGTCAGGGCCAATCTGTGGACGGGAGCATTCCCAGGTATGTGGGTGCTGGGCTGGCACCCATCCAATATGCCAAAAGATAAGGCCGGTGAAAGGGCTGTGAAAGCAATATTGTCAAACAGCATCTGGCCAGTGCCGGCCTTTCCTCTCTTTCTCGTCCCATGATGATTTGAAAACTACATAGCAAACTGTACACTTCAGTTCTGAACATGTTTTTGGATTCAATCAACTTATATGGTGATGAGCCAGTTACCTGCCTTTGAGATTTTGTCCAAGATTTGACAGTTTTATAGGCAATTTGCGTGGTTTTTCCTCTGCCAGATAAGTGTTCCATACAGGTATTCACGCACTTGTTATTTTCTTAGATTAACTGCTGGATGATTCATCACTCATCACCACGCACAGGAGTATGTGATCACTTAAAGTGAGGTATAACATGCCAATGAAGGAGGTGCAGCATGAGAGCTAGTTCCATGGTTCTGCACTCAAAAGCAAAGTTGAAATGTGTGTCTGCTGTAAAGAACAGGCAATGCTAACAAAAAAAACCGTTCCAAATAAAGTCTAGGCACATGCCCTTTCTATAAGGACTTCCCTTTTCTGCTTCTTATTACCGCATCCTTCTAACGAGGATGCATACATCTGTGTAATTGAAAGTCTCATGTTGTGTACGCTAACAAATCTTTCACTTCTAAAAACCTCTTCCTCTTTTGCTCTGTTCCTCTTTGCAGTCTTCTGTCAGATTCCCTGTCTAAATGGAGGCCGATGCATTGGCAGGGACATGTGCTGGTGTCCATCAAACTCAACGGGGAAGTTTTGCCACCTGCCAGTCCCACCTCCTGCCAGACCCATCCCTAACAAGGAAGCAAGCCACCATGGACCCAAAACTCCCTCCCGCTCCATGTACACTTTACCGCTGTCCAATCAGCAAGGTAATGCTCCAGCACTGTAGCCAATCAGATGGCAGACCTTGGCTTCCCACTGACTTCTTCTAAGGTGCTGTTTACACGAGAACGCAAACGGTTGTATCCGCTACTTTTCTCTTTCGTATTGCCCGTTCGTTCACATGAGGCCGTGACAGAAACGCGGAATCGGACCCCGCAAACGATAACGTGTCCCAAGGTGGATAGATTTGCAAACTCAACGCTCTGGGGTGCAAACGGCTCCGTGTGTACGCCTCTATACGATCATTTCCTGATAACGATGAAGCCATAGCCCCACCTCTGCTGCTCACTGCTGAAGCATGGTCAGTAGCTACTGTCAGTAGCTACTGACCATGCTACAGCTACTGACCATGCTACTGACCATGCTACAGATGTTAGTGCAAAATCTACAGCTCGACCATGCTACAGATGTTAGTGAAAAATGTACAGCTCCTCTACCACAACCATCAGCAACAAGTGGACATGGAGAATGACATGAACTACATGTTGCTAAATCCACCGCGGGGCATAAACAGAAGGTCAACCATGCTCGGGGGACTTCTTCGCTGCTTTGGTGTATTTTGTGGCGAAAGTACAGCGCCACTTACAGGCCCGGCATATGTACTACAGCGTCTCCAGCGCTCCCGAGCGGTCTCGTGTGAATGGAAGACTTTTTTGATATCGTATTCGGTTTGTGTGCGTTTGCGTTTGCAAATGGGGTCTAAGTAAACAGTTTCAAAGAAAACATTTTTTTTTAAAACATATTTTTCCTCTATTTATTAATCTAGATTGTTTTGGTGTGATTGAGTGTTGGAGATATTGGCTGTAGAGGTCTGCCTTTTCTCCAATATAATTGAACTAGATGGCACTCTGCTTTTGGTGCTCAAAGTGCCAAGAATATGTTTGAAAGAGTCAGTCAGTGTCAATATATTTGTTCTCAGTACTGTTCTGTTGACACCCCACTGGCATTTGTTTTTGGATTGTACAAATTAAGGAAAGGAAAAATAAGTTCTCTGACTGTCAGTTAATTTGTCTCATGTCGATTTAATCTCAAATCATGTTGCATAAGTGTCTGCAACTATCCTTCTCTTGGAGGGTGGTTTATGCTCTAACAAAGGAGGGCTAACTAAGGCATGGTGCCTTAGTTGGTGCTAGCTTGTCCCAATGTGGATTATCTGATCTCAGCACTGTCTGAATACAAATATTTATTCCACTAATTACAACAGTTCGAATTAAATGAATGTAATTCTTAGCTTGATTTTTCTAATGCTGGTGTGACAGGTGCCTTTATTCTTTGCCAATCGCTTCATTATCACAGTTGTACTGTATTGCTCTGCCTTTGCTGGCCAGGAGTGAAGGTCACACTCTATTTTGAGCAGAATGAGTAATACATGACTAATGTGGAAGTCCTCAAACTGTTCGCACAATGATGCTTTTATAAAAAAATTGGTTATTAGAAACAGAGGAAGGCCACATGATGAAGATTAAATGCGAGAGATTTACTAATTTCCATTTTTGCTGATATCCATTTTGAATTTCCTCCCTTTGTCTCACTCCGTGTATCGCTCTGTCTAACAAGAACCAGAAGCAGAAGCTATGATTTACATAATTTAAATTACACTCAGAAATATTCCATCCTCTGTTTTGAATACAATGAAATAATCATAACTAAATGCCATAAGTCCAATGGCTGTATTGTCTTGTCACGACAAATCAATGATTCCTCCTGTCAGTATATTCACTCAGTTTCATCTCCAGGACACTTGATAAGGTCAAATGATTCTCCTTGGACTCTCCTTGCCATCTGTCTGTGCAACTATGATCAGGGCCGGACTGGGACAATAAGTCAGGCCGGGAATTATACACCCAGCCAGGCCACTACCAGTTTTTTGTGCCATTTTGATTTATTTGTCAATATTTACAGCGTTGCTGCCCTAAGTGATATCCCTCTAGTTTAAATCTAGAGGGCCAGCCCCAATATTTTAATTGGGGCTGGACCTCAAATCCTATAGGGGGGTCCGGGGGCATGCTCCCCCGGTAAGATTTGTTTTAAATGTTGGACTTAAATGCATCAATCTGGTGCACTTTGAGGGGGAAATAAAGAGACTACACCCATATGAAACAGAACTATATACATTTAAATAATCATAAAATCATAAGTACATAACCAATAACATACCATATCCAATATGAAAAAACATTGAAACTTGTATATTTATTTGTTTTTGGTTCATTTATGTGTGAGTGTGTCCAGGCTCCTGAATCAGCCTCTCCTGTCTCCCTCCTCTCCCTCCTCTTCCCCTGCTCCTCTTTGAGGCAGCAGCAAAGACTAGTTTTGGCTCTCAACAAGTTTTAAAAGTGTATCTTACCTTTTTTCACCTAGTTAACATTTTATTTGTATTATTCATGCATATTTTACTAATCACTTCCCCCTCAAATGGAAATATGTGTTTACATAAATGGTGACCAAACCGTTTGAGACCCACTGAGATAACTTAGACTAAGTTAACTATCTAAACACTTAGGGATCCTTTACCTCACCTGAGCTGTAGTTATCAGTCTCTCAGTCTGACAGCAGAGGACTCTTCGCCCAGCTTGTTGTTGAAACAGCTCCTTATATCCGTTAGCGCAGCTAGCTAGCACCAGATGCTAACAACAACAATACACGTAACCGGTGCGCGCGCTTTCTCTCACCCGCTTTCTCTCACCCGCTTTCTCTCTCTCTCTCTCTCGCTCGCTCGCGCCACACATACACACACACACACACCCTCCCGAGCTTGAATGACACTTGTATGATCTGTATGAAAGTGGCCATGTCGGCAGGCCACATCATGTAGACAGCCAGTCACCCTCTGTGAGGCAGACGGCAGAGTCAGACCCACATTTGCGCAGCGTTGCGTTCACAATACATAGGCCTACGTATAAAAAAAATCCTCAGGCCAGCAGGCCACTTAACAGGCCTGGCCATCGGGAAACCTCCCGGTCCTCCCGATGGCCAGTCCGGGCCTGACTATGATTCATGAGGGTGGCTTAGGGTTCTGGGAAAAAACCCTGGCACTCCCTGAAGATAGATGTTTCCCTCCGTCAGAAGGACAAAAGAGCTCATTCTCCACATTGCGACATCCCTACAGCTCCTCAACAAATCTGTTTTTGGTCATTCTTATTTGATTAAACCAAAAAATACAAAGCTCGATGTATTTGTTGTTTTGTCATACTGTATGTAGTGTCTTCGTTGCCGGGAATTCCCCATGTTGATCTCATAAATTGATGATGAAGTGAGTGTTGAAGAAGTGTTCGCTGATAGCTTGCAAACTGCAGTATGTCTATACAGCTTTTATCCCTTGGCTGAGGATACTTTCACTAACAATATCCAAAATGTGAAACTATAAACTATCTTGTATAAACTGTGGTTCTTTCCATTCCTCTAGTGTCCCTCCACCCATCCTTGGTGAACGTCCACATTCAGCACCCTGCAGACTCCGAAGTCCATATCCACCAAGTAGCTCGGGTGCAGCCTGGGCAGAGACCGGCCCTCAGCGATGGGGCTCACTCTGTGCAGCAGCGCTCCCAGCCTGGGAATGGACATGAACACACCAGTGAGCATAACATCAGGCATCCACAAACCAGTGGGAATGGGCATGGCCACGCCAGACAGCACAACAATCAGAATGGACCAGTTGGAAGATGCTTTCAGGAAACAGTCGATGGACAGGTACTGTGTTAAGTCATTAAAGCATACTATTAGCACTGCTACCACTCATCAATCTAAGTTACCTTGTGTATTCGAGCCTATTAAAGGTCCCCAATTATACTGTTTTTCATCAATATATTATAGGTCTCAGATATATACAAAACATGTCTCTGAAGTGTTTGGCTCGATATACGAAACAGATCATGATTGTAGCATCCCATAATCTCCTCTGTTTCAGCCCTGTTCCAAAAGTGCTGATTCTCTGTCTTTTACTTTAGATGAAAATAAGGAACCACTCCCCACACCCCTCTGAGAGATATTTGGTTAAAAAAACCACAATGGTGCTCTAAGAGGAGATTCAGGTGATAAGGTGGGGGGGGGGGGGGTAGTGAATATTTTTCCAGAATCTCTTAATGCAGAGGGGACACATGTTTATGTATAAAAGACAGGAAAAAGTGGATTTTGCACAATAGATGACCTTTAAAGCATACTATTAGCACTGCTAACACTCATCAATGTAAGTTACCTTGTGTATTCGAGCCAATTAAAGGTGAGTAATAGTGTTTTACCACAGGTACCATTACGTTATTGTTCCATCCCAGTGCCTGATTGCTGCTGTCTCAAACAGAAAGTGTGCCTGTGGCTCTGATTTATGTCATGTCTAGGATTTACCATCTCGGACCACTTTTGTCATCCATGTTCCACCAGTTCCCAAGCATGTAACAAGTTTGGATGCCTTCAGATACATCAAATACTAGATCCTCTCTGTCAGTTCTTACCTTTCATAATAAAAGCCCTAAACATATGATATCTGTAGAGGTTTTCAGTTGCCTGTTGTTTATTTGTCATGACCCCGATGGCCTTTGGCCTGTTGGTTTGCAGTTGCAACAACCCATGGGTTGTAGAGTTGGTTTGGCAGCATTATTCCTTGAACAATTTTGTTTGTGCTGATCAGTAGCTCTCATTTGATCTACTACTAGATCATAGAGAGTTTGAAATTAAACCCTCCAGACAGTTACAATGATTTTTCAGATCCCCAATAGAACTGCCTCTGAGAGACAGCATGCCAAAGCTTTATCTGGTATGTGTACCTCTGCTCCTGCGAGGATGCCAGGTTGGTGTTCTCCAGAAGAATGTCCTCTCTGTTGCATTTTTAGTTTCATAAGTCTCCATTGGCCAACAATTCAATAAGTAAAATCTGATAGCAATCTCTCTTCACAATGAACCATGTGCCTTAACAAGTCATGCCAGGATGGTCCTAGTTCTTCTTGAGACACAGCACTTATGTCCTTTTCCAACTAACTAATCTCAGATGTCTCTGGTTCACTTTGTCCTTGCAGATAGGTATTCACGCAAATGCTGCCCAGCCAACACACTTGAACACAAACAAGCGTGCATGCACAAACATGTAACACCCATTCTTAGATTTCATTTCTTAGATTGAATTTGTTAGATTTAACGCAGATGTGTGTTTATTGCAGTGTGGCAAGCCTCTGCCAGGCCTTACCAAACAGGATGATTGCTGTGGAAGTGTGGGCACCTCCTGGGGTCTCAACATGTGCCAAAAGTGTCCAGCAAAACCTGGTAAGCCTTCATGACTAATTACATTAATCTGAGTAGATTTTTGTTCTCTCCTTCCCCGTTGCATACTCCAAACTAATCTATTTCTGAATTGGTCTGGTTCTGCTGGTATTATTTTCTGTTGTGCCTCTGGTATGTTGATCTCTTGGTATTTGTGTGCTTTTATCCACATTCAAAACAACAACAACACGCAGCTGGGCTCCACTTTCATAGTTCTGTATAAAAGGGTATTTAGTCAGCGATGCCTCTTATATTCCCCAGCAGCTTGATGAATTTTTACAGCATTTATCCCAGCCCTAAACAACTCTTACGGCTGATGGGGATTAGCATAGCAGTCTTCATTAGAATCCTAAACACCTATGAGGCGGCTGTGTGAACGCACCCAGTTGTAAGAATGAAGCTGGGTTGGTTTCCATAAAAATAAAACCTGGAAGTAAATGAAAACACATTGAGCATTAAGATGAGAGCCTGGCAGGAGTGCCACCCACTCTGCGGGACACATCGCGCCAACGCAGCCTTCACAGAGGAAATGAACCGCCGCAGTTCAGCTGCTTCCCAACCAGAGCTGCGGTAGGTTTGAGAAACAGCAGCAGGGAGGTAGCACGCCAGCAGGCAGGGTGGGTGGTGACACCATTCACTGTAGATGGAGACTCTGACAGCTATGGGTGTTATTTTGAGGGCGTGGTTATTTTTCTGTGCTGGTGTAGGACTTATATTGGGGCCTCCTGGTAAGCAGCTTCCGTGGCAAGTGGGGACATTTCCCAGCACCAATACTTTCAATCGTATTACAACCATGCCCACAGATGTCAGTTAGCTGTCAAAGTCTTGTACCCTGTTTAATGTCTGACCAGACCTTAATCAGAAGCAGACATCATCCCTCTCCATCTCCTCCATCTATCATCGATGCCGATCCGTTCTTTTCTCTCCCGCTCTCTATCTCCCTCGGCAGGACAGATTCCTAAAGTCTCCGGCACGATCTCTTTTGGCTCCCAGATGTTTTCCTCTGCTCCCTCCTTTGAAGTGTGAGGGGAGAAACAAAGTGAAGACCCCATTCCCTCATTTTTGTAGTTGTTTTGGGGGGCAGCATACTGTTAAGCCAGGGGTCCCGGGTCACACGCAGGCAGGGAGGAAAGGATAGAGAGAATGAAAGAGAGGGAAAATGAAGTCATTTAGTCCCAGAAGTCTTAGAGGGAGCTCTAATAAGAGAAATGCTTTGAATTCCTCTCGAGTGTTATTGTTCTGAGTTTAGACCCTTGGCTAGATGTTTCAGCTGCATTCCACTCTTACTGGCCGAGATGTATGTTTTCTGACGTGTTTGACAGAAATTATATATAACCTGGAGAAAACAGCCCCTGAAAAACGAGGCTGTCCATTTATATTTCATAGTGAATGGGTGAGTTGTGGACTTGCAGTGTGGAGAAAAGTAGTATGGCTTTAAAAAGGTCTCTTGTGTCTCCTGTTAAGTATGTGACAATGATGTCATGAAAGCCCAGTTTGTATTTAGGGCTGTAATGCTACCATTGGTCAGTTTACAGCAGGTTGCAAACTGCCCTGAGATGATGCATTGCTACTTTATATTCTTTATTGCATTTATAGCTGATGCCAACATGACCACACTTTGATGGCATCAGTTCTGTTTAAAGTCTATGCTTCCTAGAATTACTTTATTATATGCCCATTCTGCCTGCTCATCACTGACTGGAATCATATTGATTAATAATCAGCAAAGTGCTTAACAAAAGACACACGATGTATTGCTGTTGCAGAGGTCTTTGGATGTTAGCACAACTGACAACATTATATAGGTCTGGGTATTATTTATTAAGATACACCAAGGACACTATGTCACTGCTGTGGCAATATGGGATTGGTGTGTGTGTGTGTGTGTGTGTGTGTGTGTGTGGGTGTGTGTGTGTGTGTGGTGTGTGTGTGTGGTGTGGTGTGTGGTGTGTGTGTGGTGTGTGTGTGTGTGTGTGTGGTGTGTGTGTGTGTGTGTGTGTGGTGTGTGTGTGTGTGTGTGTGTGTGTGTGTGTGTGTGTGTGTGTGTGTGTGTGTGTGTTTTTGAGGGCTGATGTTATGGAGACACGAATGCCAATGTGTCCCATCTCAGCGGGAGCCCAAGCTTTCAGGAGCCAGAGCTTTTAAAAGTTGCATGCTGAGGATTCCTGTGTCATAATGAGATCCAGATCAACCAGAAGAGGCTGCAGTCCCTCTGGTTCTGATGAAGAGGAGGCTTAAAAAAACAAAACAGCTCTACACTTTTCAAGAGCTGCAAACCATTAGGCGACTAATAAATTCATCAATCGTCAGAAAATTAATCGCCAAATAATCTGAAAATCTAGAAAACATGTTGGGATGGGATCTCATAGCAACATGGTTTGGATTGTCTAGGTTGTAATTTTATTATGCTGTTTATTCTTTAAGACATCCGGCCTTGGTGCTCTCTCAGCTCTCTCTTTTTCCATTATTTCCCCAATTGGGATTTCTTTTTGGGATTTATCTAGACTCCAATGACAGATGAATGATGCATGTGTAATATGTGATATTGGGCTATAAGAATATTTGATTGATTACTACCAGCCTTGACTGCAAATGTGGGCATTAGTTGTGGGGGCCAAAAGCCTTAGTTCTGGGAACTGTGCTCTTTCCCCCCACCCATATTCGAAAGCAGTCATAATTTGGATCATAACTAGATATCTGTAAAGTGTTGTCATGCCAAATCGGGCCAATGGAGTAAAGTGTGCTGGAGGGGGACAGTAGTCACTTGGCCCCCTTTGCCCGGGACCACGCTCATTTTGAGCTTGATTTACAGAGTAATCAAATCTAGGGTTGTCATTTCTGATCATGAATGAGATGCTCCAAACTTTCCTCAAGTATAAAAGCTAACCAGTGACATCTTAAGTCAAATGAGGATGAACAATTGGTTGCACAGGTCCCATGAGACCTGAGAGAAACTATAGGTTACTTACGTAACCCCAGTTCTCAGAGTAACATGAAGTGAGATGTCTCACTATGGGATGCGCCTCATCGCGGAGCAAACAGAAGCATCAATCTCATTACGCCAATCCTGATTGGCTGGTGATCTTGACGTCAGCGTCAGGGAATTCACCCCCTATAAGTAGCTTGCGCCACGACGCATGCGTCATTCAAAATAAGCACCTCTTCTCGCTTCACCATAGCAAGGAGGGCCGTCTGGTGAGACATCTCACTTCATGTTACTCTGAGAACTGGGGTTACGTAAGTAACCGATAGTTCTCAATCATAACACTCCGTTCGATGTCTCACTATGGGAAATTGTAGCTCCCGTATTGTCAGACGAGCTTATCTCGAAAATCACCAAACCAACCAGAACTTAACAGGTAGAGCTCTGACTCAACCAGGTGCCCAGCACTGCTTGAGTCACACTGGGAGCAGAACGTCCAGCCTGTTAAGAGGCGGACAAAAGTGAGCGGCGAGGACCAGCTCGCCGCTGCACCAATGTCTTGGATGGGAGACATCCTGGACAGAGCCCAGGATGCAGTCAGACCCTGAGTCGAAAGAGCTCGCGGACCTGAGGGTGCCTGCGAACTCTGACTCGTATGAGCCCCAAAGCAATTGCTTCCACAAACCAGTGGGAGAGCCGTTGCTTAGTAACAGGCTTGCCCTTATAAGGGTTAGCCCAGGACACAAGGGGTTGGTCATTATGACGAAGCACCCTTGATCTGTCCCTGTACGTGCGTAAAGCACGGGCTGGACACGGCAAATCCGGCCGCTGTTCCCCGGAGGAATACAGTGGCGGGGAGGATGCCTCAATGTCAAATGTGGTACCTGAACCAACCGCCTTAAGATAAAGGCAGGGTTGGGCTTCAACCACACTCTGTTTGCCCTGGGGCGAACTGAGTGCATGAAGACTTTACAGATAGTGCATGAGTGCCACTGGCTCGCTTGGTAGCTGCCAGGGTCAGCTTCATATCACACTGTATTCAGATTGTACCACTCACGGGCCAGGCCCATAGAGCCAAGCGCTCTGGGTCTGGGTGAAAGATCGCCCCCCCCCGCTTGGGACAGTATGTCCCTGCGTAGTGGGAGCTGCCATGGCTGCCCGCACAGCAGCTGATATATCTCCGCTAGCCAGTACATAGCTGGCCAGTGCGGAGCTATCAGGATAAGTGTGTGGCGTTGCTCTCTCACTCTGGCCAGAGTTGGGGGTATCAGAGCCAGGGGTGGGAACGCGTACAGAAGGCCCGAGGGCCAATCGTGCGCGAGTGCATCCACGCCTAACGGTGCATTTAGATCGCGCATCGAAAAGAACAGCTGACACTGAGCGTTGTCTTTCGATGCGAACAGATCCACCGCGGCTCTGCCGTAACGCACCCACAGCTGGCTCACAATCCTTGGATGTAGAGTCCAGTCTGCATAAAGTGGTATACCTCTGGACAGTAGATCTGCCCCGAGGTTCATCACTCCCGGTACGTGCATCGCTCTCAGAGAGAGGAGACATCTACCGCTCCATAGGATCAGTTTGCGCGCCAGTGTGTGTAACTGGAGAGAACGCAAACCCCCGTGGCGGTTAATATACAATATTGTGGTCGTATTGTCTGTCCTCACGAGGACGTGATGTCCCCTGAGGAAAGGCAGAAAGCGTTTTAGGGTGAGAAACACCGCTAAAAGCTCCAGGTAATTTATGTGCGCCCGCTGGAGGTCTCTGCTCCAGAGACCCCTCACCGGGCGACCTTCATAAATACCTCCCCAACCTGTCAGACATGCGTCCGTGGTGACCACTTTCCGTGAAAGGACAGCACCCATAGGCACACCTCGTACTAGAAAAGTCGGGTGCAGCCAGTGGCGCAGTGCCATTACGCATTTCACAGTAACCATAACTCTCCGCTGACGCCATGAGCCCCAGCAATCGCAGGCATGATCTGAAGAGAACATGTTTGCGCAGCTGGAAAAGAGTGAGACAAGCTCTGAAAGCTTTCACTCTTTCCGCTGACAAGCGAGCTGAAAAGGGCACCGAGTTCAGG